ATAGTTTCACCAAAATGGAGAAAGTAGGAAAAAGAATTGTTTTTTCTCTAAATATAGAGATGACCTAAAAAATGATTATCAAGTGAAACCATCAATAGGAAACTTTGAAAAAATAAATATTTAAAGAGAAAAATAATATTTTAATAGATGAATGAAATATTTTAATATTATAATCAATGTTGGATTCTCCAAAATGGAGATTTTGTTTTAGATGAATGTAATTTCTTTTTAGGGATTTTGACTTATGGTTCTTCATTTTGGAGAAATTTTGGAAAATCTGTTGGAAATGCTATGAGAACCGATATAAAAATATCTTTAACATTAATTTTCTTTTATCAAAAGTTATGATTTAATATAGTGGTTCACATATGTTTGTGTTTACCTTTATGGAAATTTTTTTTTTGCATGTGAAACTCTTTTTGATTCATTTAGTGTCGGTCTCAGTCGAATCTACAAGAGTTATAAGTAATCAGTTTGTAGAAAGGGGGGGATGAATACAAACACATAAACTTGCACTTATAAAAATTATATATTGATAAAGAAAGATCAATACAAGTTTTACAGATTATTTGCGGAAGAGACAAGGTAAAGAACCTATCTAAACAATTTAAGGTTCACACAACTACAAATAGCAAAGAGAAAATATTTGCTACAATAAATAAATATAAGAAATGTAAATGTTTTTCACTTGTTCTAAGTAGTTCTTTCTCTTAAGATGAGAGTAGAGAGAGGGAAGTATCTTCTTGGGTATGTTTCTTAGAGATGAAGAAGTGATAACTGAGTAGAGAACACTCAACTATTTATACTCATTGCATTAAATGATATCCAAAAGGTACAAAGCACGTGTTAAACTTTTGGAGGAAAGTTTGTCCTTTGCTATCGTAAATAGTTCTTTTGGTTGTATATAAGCAGTCCTTTTTTCATAAAGTAGGTAAATACTATTAACGGAGTGGCTTCGTAATGTACTATACTCTAGAAAATGTATGAGTTTGTTCTTTGTGTGAATGAGGACAAGACAAAAACAATAGTGCAAGACAAGCTTCATTTGATCGCTAAATGAAGGGATGACGCTTGAGGGTCTCTTCAGCATTCGTTGAAACTTGTGCAGACTTCACACATAATTAGACGAGCTTGTAATCACTGAATGCCGCTTCAGATCACGAACACACTGGTCTCTAATCTTCAGTTTCTTTTTTCGACATTGTTGAAGGATCTGTAGTGTGAGTTTTGTCTTCTCGAAGTATAACAGTCTCTGAAGAATTTACAATACATGTTCAATGATCATTGAATAGACTCAGTAAAGATCGTTGAAACTGAATAACATAAATATTATACTTTGTAAGATAAAATGGATCACAATCAAATCAATAAGAGAGAGGTCCAACACTTAGTAAAATGAAAATACACATAAAAAAATATTCATATGGTAAACAAATACATGTGAAACTATCACATTATGAAACAAATATATGTAAGCAATATCTTAAATCAAAGTATTTGATGAAAAAAATCATGTAAATTTATTCTTAAATCAGTTCTCATTTGATTTAACCCTATATATATATAAGGTATATTTCTTTTACAACCTTGTGTATTTGTACAACCCTTGCAACCCAATTAATTGAGATATTTATAGAAATAATGAGAGTTCATTTATTATGATTTGAATATTTATAGAATATAAATAGAGTTTATTAATTATGATTAATACTTTATATTAGGAAACAATCAAAACTTCTATGAAATCACATATTCATCAAATTAAATGGACGGTTAAGATTGAGTTGTATTAGTTGTACAAATATAAAGGGTTGTATAATAACTCACCTATATATATATATATGTGTGTGTGTATATATATATATATATGTATATATATAGGGGAGCGTTCAAATAAAAACCACCTAATTTGTACAAACCGTACAAACTTCATTCAACTAATCATAATTTTTCATTTTGTTCATTTTTTTGTAATTATGAGAGGTTGATTAATCATTTTTATTGTGGATGATGTTAATCATGGATATTATCATCTTCATTATTTTAGTTTTAGAGAAATACATGAAACAGTTTCATTAATTTTAGAGAAATACATGAAACAGTTTCATTAAGTAGTATATGAAACAATTTCATARCCATATATGAAACAACTTCATCAAAAAAARTATTATATGAAACAATTTCACAAGATTAAACAATTTCATGAAAAAATTTCATAAAATTAAACAATGAAATCGACGAATGAGAGTAGTTTTTACGGTTTTTACAAATTGGAGTGGTTTTCATTTGATCGCTCCTCTATATATATATATATATATATATATATGTATAAACACATAAACGTAAACATTTATATGATGCATTCCTCATCACCACTATCTCCGACCACCACGACCACCTGCAAAGATTGTTTTGTTCTTCAATGAACCATCAATGAAACTCAAATCTAATACAAAATCAGGGAACCACCCTAAAATCTGATACAAAAATCGATTCCCTCTTTCTTTCTCGAATTTTTCCGACAACCCACCTCTCCCCATTTTCGGCACCTTTTACCTCCCATATTTTCTGGCGACCCCTCCCACTCTCCTTCTTCGTTCATCCCTTCCCACATTCTCCATTGATACCCCTGTTTTTTTTAATAGATCTACAACCCCTACCTCTTCCCTTTGATCGTACCTTTGGTTCCAGATCAACGACCAACAAAAAACAAACTCAACCCTAATCAAAAACCAAGAAAACCGCCAATTTGGACTAGATCTGTATTTGGCCGAAAGAAAGATGAAGTCCTTGTGGTGTGGCAGTGATTCAAAAAAAAAAAAAAAACAAGGGGAGGGGGTGATTTCAGAGTTTGCTTTCAATGGGTTTGAAGGGGATTGAGATGGAGATGGAGATGGAAATGGAGATGGAGATGGAGATGGTGATCGGTCGAAGATGAGGAAGACGATGTCCTTGTATGTGTGTGTGTGTTTATGTATACAAAAGACAAAACAAGATAAAAGACAAAATTTAAGGTAAAAGACTAAAGTGGCGTTTGGTTCGCGGATTCTAGACGAATCTGATGGAACTGGAATGTTGAATTCCATTGACTAAATTTCATTCCCTTATTTGGTTCATTCTTTTTCACGAAAGGAATCTTCAAAATCCTACAAATTCTATAAATAAAGAAATTTAACATTCCTTAGCAACTACATGATATTTTGATGGAATGTAATCTCTTTCTTCATCATACCAAATATGCCTTTAACCTAATATACTCTAATCTCATAAAACTCAATATGACCATCGTCGACCACTATTGATCTGAACCACTGTCGACCGCCACCACCGATCTGAACCACCGCCGAATACCACTGTCGACCGCCACCACCGATCTGAACCACCGCCGAATACCACTGTCGACCACCACCACCAACTACCATCGGTCTGAACCACTGCCGACTACCACTGGTCTGAACCACCGCCGACTACCACTGGTCTGAACCACCGCCGACTACCACCATCGAATACCACCGATCTAAACCACCGCCAACCACCACCACCGACTACCATCGATCTGAACCACTACCAATCTAAGCCACCACTGATCTGATTGAGCATCAATCTCAACCACCGCCGATAACCGCCATCTGAACCACCATGGACCACCACCACCGACTACTACCGATCTGAACCATCGTCGACCACCGTCGACTACCACAGATCTGAACCATCGTCGACCACCGTCGACTACCACCTATCTGAACTACCGCTGATCTCAGCCACCACTGAGATGATTCATTGTCAATCTGAACCACCGCCGATAACCGCCATCTAAACCACCATGGACCAACATCGATCTGAACCACTGTCGACCATCACCATCTGAACCACCACGAACCACCATCGATCTGAACCACCGCCAACTACTACCAATCTGAAGCACCGTCGATCTAAACCACCATTGACCATCACCGATATGATCCATCGCCGATCTGAACCACATCTGACCATCGTTACCTGAACCACAATTGACCACCATCGATCTATATCACTGCCAACCACCGACGACTACCATCGATCTGAATCACCGTCGGACACCGCCGATCACCACCGATTTGAACAACCACCGACGCCACCGTTTATTTGAACCACCACTGACCACCTCCATCTGAACCATTGCGGACCACCATCGATCTGAATCACTGTGGACCACCACCATCTGAACCACTGTGCACCACCACTAATCTGAACCACCGGTGACCACCGTCGATTTAATAACGTCATTTGGCTTATGATTATATTTGGATTGTGTATTTTATATTGTTTTACATATTAAATAATTATTTTTTAAAGTATTTTTAGTTTTAAAAAAAGTTAAAATTTTCAAAAAAAGACATTTTGATAATTTACCAATATTTTAATCCAATTCTAATGCTACATTCTGTGAACCAAACAGACAGATTCTAATTTCTTAACATATTCCATTTCAATGTCTGCCAACCAAACAGGTGGTCAAACCTGACAATATTTCATTCCAATTCCTTCAAAGTCAAATTACTTTAACATATTTCATTCCATCCAGAACAATTCTGCGAACCAAACACCATCTAAGACACCTCCTTATTTAACTTGGTTAACAAATATTTTTTAATTTCGTTAAAGGGAGGGAGCCAATAAGTACGAAAATGTCAACCAAAAGTACCATATCTGTATTTATTTTAATTTTAAGACCATTACGGGTAAAAAATATAAACCATACATATACCATATCCCTAATTTACCCAAACTATAAGAAGCGACACTAATTTTGGTTCCAGGGTTGTCCCTTAGCATGTTCAATGTGAGATTTTGAACAGGACCTCCAAAATTTTGGGGTCCAATTTTACATATGTAGGCATTTTCATCAACTTGTATAAAAGCTATACCCCAAATTGTTTAGGTTCAAATTATTAATTATTAATATAATAATTTATTTATATATTAAACTGAAATAGAATTGACCATAAATAATAAAATAATAAAATGGGGGAAATAGGCCATGGATTACTTGAATATTTCTACAATTTTTGTAAGAAAAGAAAAAGTAATATAATTTAGCCTAATTTATGCCCAAAAAAAGATCCGATTTAGATCATAGTTGCAAACCATCGAATCCACATTGCTTGTAAGTCAGGGATTGCTTCCTGGGGCTTATAACAATGCCACAATCTATCGATACCTGCACATACATACAAACATGTCACACACTATTAATTTTACCAAAACAATACCAAATTCCTTCTTTTTCTATTTAATATCACAATAATATCTTTATGTAGCCTTTGATACTCAATATATACATAACTGAACAAAACAAAACAAGTGTTTGTCTGATGTTTGATATGACTAGGACCATACAGGACTAGACAAGTTGTCCACAAAAGTTATTTTAATACCAAACTTGAATGAAATTTTTTATGTAATTGATAGTAGTTTGAAAAAACCCGATGCATACAAAAGAAAAATTATGTTTTATTCAGTCTGGAAGATCCTTATCAATAATTGTTGCAACAACAATGGTTGTGGAGGTATAATCAATAGTAATTAGTGAACGATGATGGTTATGGAGGAGATGAAGATGATTGATAGTGGTGGTGATGGTGGCAGCCGACGATGGTGGATGAGGTGGTTGTGGTCTACATGTTTATGGTGATTTTCTCCTGAGGAAAAGGAAAACGAAAACGTACGATTGATTGGAAATAATAGAGGCACCCACACCCAATGATTGCGGAGACAATATTTACAGCCATGTGACAGTGCCACCAAACAACACACAACACACAACACTCTCTCTCTCTATATATAATATATATATATATATATATATTATATATCAAGGAAACATTCTTCACTCGTTTAGAGTTTATAAATGCATTTTCCACTCCCACTTTACAAAAAGTTGCCTCCTTTAACCATACTCGTTAACATTAAGAGTATTTATAATTTGATATATTTCTTTCTAATTTTCAAGATTTATACATACACAACTTAATATAGTTGTTGCACAAACTTTTAATCTCTAAGGAGCCGTTTACTAAACGCTTACTTGGTAAATGCTTACCGAATAAATTTCCTTATCAAATGAACATGACAAGGACCAAGAATTATACCGGGTAAGAGTGATGAGAAGGATAGAGAGTCTTACCCGGTAAGTGAAGATTACGACTCTTACTCAGATAAGCGATTACATGGTAAATTGTTGCATTTAATACGTATTGATGTACTAAAATCTTACTCATTAAAATAAATTATAGTGTTGACTCCTATAAATAAGCACTTACCGAGTAAGCATTTGGGTAAACAACCCTTAAGTTTTTATTTTTTTATTTTTATAATAATAAGTATGTTTTATTTTTTTTCTAAATTAAAAAATTTCTTCATCCTCTCTAAGAAGTAGAGGAAATTTCTAAAATAACATAATTGTTGGAGATGCTCCATAATACCAGCATGTTGCGTTACTCTCCTGTAAGTTTGAGACCTTTACAAAGTTTGTTTGATTATAAACTTTAGTCAAGTTGAACACAAATTAATCGGACACCTTAAAAGTGTACACGTTTAAAACAAAACGACTTCATTCATCTTGTAATTTCGAAGCTTCATGTCGTACGTGTCGTTTTCTCACTCAAGACATCCCCGCTTTGCTTACCATGTCCCCTACACCTTAATTTGCTCTTCTAACATAAGATCCAAAGGTTTCTTCCACAAAAGTAACCAACAAAACCGTTCATAAATTACTTACTAGCTTGCATATTACTAATTAATAATTTATGAACGGTTTTTATGGTTTATACCAAACATCTAAAAGAATGAATGAATGATTAAGAAGAAAAATGGCTATGAATCATCCAACTCATCGTTATTTGACTCGTTTCTCCGATCTAACCCAACCCCTTCATGGTCATCTTACATTACCTTCGACCATCTACTCGTTTTTCATCAATCCATTTCGACATAGCATCTTAAAGTCAATCGCAATTAATCATCCCTAAACTTTTATTCAAGAATATGATTACAATGTCAAATATGAAATCCAAAACAAGCAAATGCAAGATGTTGAAAGATGCAAAACCCAAATGAAGACAAGTAACAATCAAACAAATTAACAACCCCACTTAATTTAAAATGAAGCGTGATCACTTGTAGAATGTGATTAATTATTGCTAATCCTAGTCATTAATGTTCTTGGTCATCACATTAGTTATTGATTACTCTTCAATTCTGTTTAGCAAAGATTGACACCATGATCAAACACCATTGCAATGATCCCAACAATCATTAATTAGGTTGTGGGTTTGAGGAAACATCAATGGATGCTTGAATAGCAAGTCATCATTTACTTGTCTTATTGATGGCGTACATTAGCAAAAGGCATGTGTGGAATGGACTTTTGGCAAAAGCAGAAAGCAAAACACAGGGAGTATTGTATTTGTATTTGTATTGTGTGAAAATGGGGGTAGAAGTGCTAACCTGCACAGCGGGTGAAGTTAACCCGATGATCCGAATCTTGGCCCTTACATCACCCATGATCCGAAGTTCGACCCGATCATTCAGCGAAGCGTCTCTCACCAAATCAGTAGCATCGGCCTGTAACAGATTCACCCGATCCACCGACACCGTCGTCTGAACCTGCCGGATGCTGTGAGCAGGCTGGAAAAACCCGGGTACGGTTCCCCGACCCAAGGGAATCCCACGATACATTATATTGAACGTGGACTCCTCATACTTGATCCCAACCTTGTTTTCGTTTTTGGCAGTGAACAGCATGCGTATGGCGAGAGAAAGAGAGGCGGAACTGGGGGAATTGACGTTGGTCGTCGGAGGATTGGTGGCGGCGAGGTTGATGTATTGGACGCCGACTTGTTGGAGATTGAATTCTGGTTTTTTGGGTTTAACGGCGAGGAAGATGACGAGAACGACGGCGACGACGAGGAGGGCGAGGAAGGAGAACAGTAGGATAAGGCAACAACAACAGCCTTTGATTGAAGCGGAGGCGGAGGAGGAGGAGGAGGAAGAGTGGGGATAATAATGTGGGCGGTAGTTTGATGATGATGGTGGTGGTGGGCGGATTATATGGTGGGGGCGGCCATTGATGTCAGAGTCGGAGGTCATAATTTAGTTCTCCGACGACGAAGCAGTCGGTGGGGGTGTCGTGAAGAAATGGGTAAAGCTATCAAAGGCGGCACCTCTCTCTCAGCTCAGCGGCCCTTTTGAAAAGAGGGAGAGTGGAGCAAAATCGAGTGTATATTTTAATGCAGGAAAAATTGAAAGTGTCTGAACAAATTGGGACACATTTTCCATTTTAAAACAGGGTAAGAGGCTCAATATCTTAATATCTAAATCAAAATTACAACAAGAGATCTTTTAATATTATTTCTATTTATAAACGCACGTTTTAGAAAAGAATTGATCCAGTGAACTTTATTAGTACTGATCCAAGAGTGAAGATCTATTCTTATTCTTCCATCATAACTTCTTTTTTTTATCAAAACCCAACTGATAAACATATCAATATTAACATTTATTTTATAAATTTTCAATAGATTTGATCTGATTTTGATGTAAAATAGATTGACATATAACATTATTTAATGTTGTATGCACCATTTTTTATGTGAGGATCAAGTTAAATCGGAGAATGTAAAATATAAGTCTTGGTTTTAATATATTTAATGAGTAAATTTGTAGATAAAAGTGCATTTTAGTCTCATAGACTATAACATTCCCCTTGAAATATTTACTTTTTAGTCGTATTTTTATTTGTTTGGAATAAGTATTGAATTATTATTATTATTATCCCATCTTAAGATATTGTTTGGCAAATATAAGGTTGCATATTTTTTGAGTACAAGTTTGATTGGATATAACTTAGCTTATTGAAATGCTAGTTGAAGCAATGTTTTAGGAGAATTTGGATATTTTGGTTATGTTTGGTAAGCTAGCTGATAAATGAGTTGATGAACAAACCATGTTTCATAAAATTAGCTGATAAATATGTAAAATGACAAAAAATGACACATTAAAAAGTTAGTCGATTATAATATTCGTAATAATATTATAATTTTTTAATAATATAATATATCAAGTAATACAAATAGATTATTAAATAAAAATTAAATAATATAATATATTAATTAAAATAATTTCAAATTGATTATATATATATATAT